TACATAGAGAAGCACACCCACATACTTGCATTCAAGTTTGAAACATGTTATGCATGAAATTGGAAGGAATGAAAGCTTCAACTTGCTTTCCCAATCTGTGGCCACCACTTACGGTTGTAGCCCTGCATTCCGTTCTCCAGTGTATTATCTACATCTCCCTCATTAAAGCATTGCATTCCATGCATTCGGCCTCCCATTCTCCCTGTCATGTGCACTATAATTAAATCATGTAGGCAACTTTCACTACACAATTGGACGCCAAAACGACAATGCGAGACCTCTGTATCCAAATGAAAAGAAAAGGCCGGTACATCTGGCACCACGATATGTGCACATGTCGACGACAACGACCTGAAAAGTTTTTTGTGCGGATCATAAAAGGCTCTTTGATTAGGTATTACAGATGAGGAAAATGTAGCCAGAGAGGCAGGCTGTTCTGGACGACTTCGAGGGGTATCAGATATCTACTCTTATCGGTTGAGCACAGTGGGAAGGGGTGATAGAGAAGCCGTATAGGATATATCCAACTTTAGTTCTACAATTTTATACAAACTTCAACAACTAGATCAACGATCAGGAAACAGAACATGAGCACTACACATGGATCGGGAACAAGTGGGTAATGTTCATCCCTAAGGTGATTGACAAGTACTATGGTTTGACTTGGGACAACATCGTCCCAGTACCTATGGAGGATTGTTCAGATACTTTACAGGGGATATGAGGAAATATCCTTACGAGCAGGCAGTGCTGCAACAGCAAGAGGGCATGAGCCCACAGCCTTTACAGCCAGACCTTGGTGTCGACACCCCACTCTTGTATAAGTTACTTACCGGTTCGATTGAAACCATCCAAGTCATGTTATGGATAGAGAAGATACTTGGGTCCTTGGATTTGAGAGTTGGTCACATGGAGACATGCGCCATTACTACACATGATCATATGATGTTGGTGTTGGAGAATGCTTCCAATACGAGCAAGAGGATCGATATAGTCCCCGAATGGATAGATCGATATGCCGGACGAATTGATAAGCTTAATATCCGGTTGATCGATCATATGATATGATGAGCGATATCCAGGTCGAGATGGGCCAATAGTCTGCTCTGTTGAGAGAGATTCTTGCACGTATGCCTTTACATCCACTTCCATCGTCTTCAAATCCAATAGGTTTTGGGGATCATATACCATTTCTACAATGGTCACCGTTAAATTGATCAAGAGAGTCTCTATGTCCCATCTTTGCCTTCCTTTTTGCATTCCACTATAATAATTTTGTATATTGAGGGCAATGCACATGTTAAGTTTGGGGGTGACTACTGAATTCATCATCGATTGTTGTATAGTGTTAAAGTTAACTGCTTTTGTGTATTGTTGAGTGTTTAAAAACAAAAAGCACAAAAAATATTTTCTTTTAATTTTCACTGCTTTTGTGTGTCTGTGTGGGTTGGATAACCTTGTTGGTAATGATGTATACATTTGAATTATGTGTTAGACAAAAAATATGGAGATATTACATGTTGAGTTGATTGATACTGATTGATGTGAAACTGCGTAAAACATCTTTCTTACTCGGTGATCTTGATCTTTATTGCGCATGACACTCATGTTTTGCATTTTGAGTTAATCAATTGGTTCATATTCAAAAAAAATTTGAACATAGTTGACTAAATCCTGAAAAAAAATCACCACTATATACTTCCCTACACCACCTATAGGATATTGTGGAAATGGTTGAACTAGTATAGGGGAACACTAAGATGAATATGGATTCTATGCGTGAAATTATTGGGTGGATTACCTAGAACCAATAAGATGAAATTATGTGAAAATCTTGAGTTAAATGTCGGTTTTCGAGAATATGTGTTTAATAAGAGGTATTGCATTAATCTTGGCAAATAAAAAAAAAATGAAATGACTTAATTTTGAAGTTTTTATTTGGAGCCTTTTTTACTCGAGTAATTGAGCCTAAAAGGATCTTTAAAACCTGGTACTCTATGATCATCTAAATTGGGAGTGATCGGTTGAAAGCTCACGACACGGGCCACTTAATCGCTTAATGGAGAGAATTTATCACATAAAAAGAGGAAAAAAATTGAATGGTGAAAAAAAGCAGAAAGCAAGTGCATAAAATAGAAGACGCACCAAATGCCAAGATTAAGACCCAAACACTTATTTTAGATAATTAGACATTTGATAAAGAATTATTAGTTTAGTTAATTCTTGGAGGTTGAGATAAAAAAAAATAAAGGAAAATCCTTATTCGTTGAAGTTTTAACTTGTACCGATAAAACCTATCCGAATTAGAAAAGGCAAGGATTAGAATCAACTAAACTTCAACTTAGAAACACACCTCAGAAAAAGTGAATGAAAAGTTTAAGTTTGAGAGTCTGTATCTCACGAGTGGAGAAAGTAAATAGTTGACTATTATGGTTGGGGAATTGAACCAATCACAAGCTTGTGATGTTTTACACGAGTATTCACACACATATGTCGAGTTTTGCATTTGAATAAGTAGAAATTAAGTTCAACTATGCAATTTTGACATTATTCATTGTATTGTTGTTTGAGGACAAAAAAAAGTTCAAGTTTTTGGATATTTGATAAATGTATTTTATACACCTATTTGTGCCGTTAAAAAAGAATAATTGTTGATTAATTATTTGAAATATGGCTTAATTCTAATATCGATGATTGTGGTGGAATTGAAGAAAATGAGCGAAAAAGGGATAAAGTGAATCATATCTAAAGTTTGGGGACTAAAATGCAAACAACCAAAAGTGGCTCGGACCAAGGAATGGAAATTCAAAAGTGCAAGGGCTCATTGGGTAACAAAATAAGTAAAAGGACCAAAAATAAGTGAAAAGGGGCGAAAAAGGACCTTGGAAAAAGTTCAAAATACAGAACAAGGCGCGCGCCCTCGCCTACAGCGAAATGTGTGCCTCAGACACACACCGAGGTGCCTGAAGTGTCTCAAATGGTGCAAGCGCGCCCTAGTTTGTACTAGGCGCACGTCTCATGTGGAAAAATGAAAAAAAAAAATTATTTCCTTTTTATGTTTAGACAACAATTGAATGCAATCATTTTGGCATCCTACAAATAAGAGAACATGTCCAAAACACAGGGAAAGTCGAATTATTTCAAAAATAGCAAGAAAAGAATGATTTTTACATTCAAGTAGCGGAATCACATCATTTGGGGTCGAGTTTCAAGTGAAGAATTGAAGTGTTCAAGCTCTTCTCAAATTTCTTAGTTTCGGGTGAGGTCTTTTCTTATTCTTTTGTGTAATTTTCATATGACCATGTTAGACTAAAGTTTTTACGTATTGGATGGATGACAGAACCTTTTGATTTTCAGTTTTCAATTCAAGACTTTGTGTTTTTCCATTAGTTATTGTGTTGTGATTCCATATTCGTTAATCTTCCATTATTTTAATGTTTGCGCACCATTAGAACAATTAGATGCTTATTTGTAGTGTTGAAAAACTCACAATAGGTAAAACGCTGTGTATAAAACACATGGGCAATAAGTGTTAAGAATAATATTTATGGTGTGTGCACGTGAGATATTCCTAAAATTAAATGCATATTTTTCATATGACTTTAGACTAGGAATATAATTGGGTCATGTGAAATATAGATTTAATATATAATGGAAAAGAATATTAAATAATTTGACTTATTGATTGTCACAAACACATTAATTACATTCGTCAACACAAGTCGAGAATTGAACTAGAAGTTAACTGGTGGAGTCGAATATCAATACATTCATTTCGTATTTCATAAAAATCCATAATTTATTGCTTTCATAGTATAATTGAGTGAAAAAAAAAAAAAAA